CATGGGGCATGGGAGCATGGGGCATGGGAGCATGGGAGCATGGGGCATGGGGCACGGGAGCATGGGGCATGGGAGCATGGGGCATGGGGCATGGGAGCATGGGGCATGGGAGCATGGGAGCATGGGGCATGGGGCATGGGAGCATGGGGCATGGGAGCATGGGAGCATGGGGCATGGGAGCATGGGAGCATGGGGCATGGGGCATGGGAGCATGGGGCATGGGGCATGGGAGCATGGGGCATGGGAGCATGGGGCATGGGGCATGGGAGCATGGGGCATGGGAGCATGGGAGCATGGGGCATGGGAGCATGGGGCATGGGAGCATGGGGCATGGGAGCATGGGGCATGGGAGCATGGGGCATGGGAGCATGGGGCATGGGAGCATGGGGCATGGGAGCATGGGGCATGGGAGCATGGGGCATGGGAGCATGGGGCATGGGGCATGGGAGCATGGGGCATGGGAGCATGGGGCATGGGAGCATGGGGCATGGGAGCATGGGGCATGGACCACAGTGAAGGTCGGTGCTCTCTTGAGCTTTTTTACAAGCGCCACAGCTGTTCACCGCTCACCACCCATGCAAGTGTGGCAGCACTCACAGCGAGGATCCGCACTTTCTTGAGGTCGTTGACATGCACCACCACCACAGGACACCCCAGCTTCATCCCTCGTCACCTCTCGTAACTGCCTATCACCGCATCACCCCTCATCGCCGCTCGTTACCGCTCACCACCCATGCAGGCAAGGTACTCACAGCGAGAATCTTGACTTTCTTGAGGTCGTTGACGTCCACCACCGCCACGCCACACCCCAGCTTCGCACTCAACCCTTTCACTGTCTCGTGCACGCTCAGCTGAAAAGTGGGGAGCGGAGGGTGCGGAGCGCAGGGAGAAAGGGCAAGTGGGTGGGAAAGGGAGAGGGGTAGGTTGGAGGGCGGTCTTGAAGCACAGGGCTGAAGGTGAGATGAGCTGGTCGTAGGGGGCAAGAGTGAGTGTTAATGTGTATGGGGCTATATGGGCCTTTGGAGGCGCCTTAAAAAGGAAGAGAGGAAGAGAGGAAACAGCACTCACAGGACCGAGAGTGATGAACTAATCGAAGGGCGGGAAGGTGCAGGTGATGTGGGTGTGAGTGTGTGTGGCGTACATGCATGGATTGGTCGCAGGGGGAAGGGTAGAGAGAGAGGAGAGAGACTCACGGGGCCGAGAGTGATGAACTGGTCGTAAGGAGGGAGCGTGCAGGTGATGTCATCAATGAGTCGCGCCTGGTACCCTGCCAGCTGGTAAAACACCCCCCTCTTCCCCAGTAGCAGCCGTGCCAGTATTGCCAGAAGCACCGCTACTATCACCCGCACCACCCCCACCAGGTCTATCAGCACCTGTCGGGAGGGGCATGGGGGAGGGTACGGGGAGGGGCATGCATGTGGGTGGTGTGTGGGAAAAAGGGGCAGCGACCACTCACACAATCCAGTTCCTAGGCACTGCCAGTACCACCCCTACGCGCACCTGCATGCCGCAAGCCGTAGCAAGAGACGAGGCGGGGAGGAAGCAGAGGCAGGCCAGGCGGGCAAGAAGGCCCGGGGGCACGGAGTCCGGGTGGCGGAAGCCGCCCTGCATGATGGCCAATGGCGTCTCGCCAAGTGTCACCACGTCGCCTGGTTGCAGATATGGCGCTGCGTAGCTGGTGTGGTGGGCGAGATGGGATGGAGTCCGGAGCAGTGCGATGCAGGATGGTGGTGAAGCTTGGGAGGAGGTTTGATGCGGTGCGAGGTGTACCGAACTGAACAAGCTGGCGTCAGAGGCTGATGGTTTAAACTGAACTGACTAGACATGGGTGGGAGCGCGGAAGAATGACAGTGTGAGAGGACGCATGGGGTTGCGATGCGAGAGGGCGAGGGGCGTGTCTCACTGGCGCAGCACGAGGAGCGGGTCGTCGAGGTGGCACAGCAGGTGTGTTGGGACCGCCAGCACTGATATGCCCGCTGCGATGCTGCCGAGGGGAAGAGAGGGGTGGGGTGGGTGGGGGAGGGGGGGATTCAGATGGTGTGGAGAAGAGGTGAACGCGGATGGAGGGGACAAGCAGAGGGGCAGCGGAGATGGGGAGTAGGGGCGAGAGGAGAGGGAGGGTTATACCTGCGCCAGGTTGGGGCGTGGGGAGCGGATGGGGGCGGGCAGGGGGGGAAGGCGAGGGGCAGGATGACGTGCTGCACCAATGGCAGGCTGCCATGTGGCCCGTACGCCGGGTAATGCACGTCCAGCCTGGCCGCCTGGTGGGCGGGAGATAGATGGTGGGCAGGACGCGAGGAGAGGAGAGGGGCGTGTGTGGTGCGGAGGAAGGGGGGCGGTGGTGGGAGAGAGTGGATGGAGTAATGGACGAAAGGGGAGTGCAGAGTGCGCGACTGAGAGATTCAAAAGATGAGCAGGAAGATTGAGAGGGGGCAGGGGAGGAGGGTGCAGTGGTGGGGTTGGGGAGATGGGACAGGCATGGGGTGCTGCTACAAGCTCACATGTGAGTGCTTCTATCATTTTCTGGGCATGGGTTGCTGACTGTTTTCACCCTAAAGCCCTCTCAGGGAAAGGGCTGAATGTCCCTGCCCTCACTCCACTAGTTGTATTGACTATCATTCACTCCTGCTCCGTGTACCCCACGCACTCCACTGCTTGTACCTTGAGGTGCGACAGAGCTGTGTCATTGCCTCGAGCTAAATATGACTCTTCTGCCCGGATCTCAACAGTGACCTCCATGGCGGTGCCCTTGCCCGCCCGGACGATGTATGCCGGCCAGTAGCCGTCCGCTCGAGGGGCAGGCTGGCCTTCCGGATGGCGCGGAGCGATCTGGAAGGGGCGGGCGGGCGGGCGGGGAGGAGGTGTGTTTGTTGCGCTGTGAATGGATGGCGAGGAGGTGCGTCGCGCGTTGACACCAAGCCAGAGGCGTCAAGTGAGTGAAACAGCAGCTAATGGTGAAGTTGGGAGAAGAGGTTGTCGGACCAAAATGGGCAAGGGGAACAAAAGTGAGAGTGTGAGGGAGAGCGAGAGGTAGTGTGAGGGAGTATGAAGGAGTGTGGGGAAGGTAGCACTGACAGAGACGTGGGTGGAGATGCCGTGGAGGGAGTGAGAGGAGAGCAGCACTGCCACGCGTGCCGTCACATGTGGCAGGAATATGTCCTGCTTGCTCCTCATGTTGTGGAAACTGCGACACGAGAAGGAGGGAAGAGAAAATGGGGGCCGGGCCAGATGGCAAGGGAGGACCTTTGAGTTGACTCAGAAGGCACATGTGGGAGGAATATGTCCTGCTGCCGCCTCATGTTGTGGACGCTGCGCCAGGGGCGGGGGCAGGGAGGAAAGGCAAGGGGGAGACTCTGGGACTTCACACTGCACTGCAACCAACAACGCCCTACCCTCACCTCATCTGCACGCCCTGCTCTCCCCTACCCCCACCTCATCGCCCTCCCCTCCCCATCGCCCTGCCCTCACCTCATGCATCTACCCACCCCTGCCCCTCACCACCATCACGATTCACCCCTCCCCTCACCTCATGACCCCCATCGCCCTCCCCATCGCCCTCCCCATCGCCCTCCCCATCGCCCTCCCCATCGCCCTCCCCATCGCCCTCCCCATCGCCCTCCCCATCGCCCTCCCCATCGCCCCTCCCGCACCTCATTCGCCCCACGAGGCGGTAGAGCGACGGGCCTCTCTCCTCCCATTGCCAGCTGCCACGTGTCAACAGCAGACCTCCTGGCACATTGCCGCCCTGCACACGCACATGCGCGTACACAGGCACATGCGCGTACAGGCACATGCACATACAGACACTCACATGGATGCATCCATGCACAGACACACATGCTCGTAGACACACACACACACACACACACACACACACACCCACACACACACACACACACACACACACACACACACACCCACACACACACACACACACGACAGGGGAAATGGCGGCAATATTACAACACGCCCTCTCCATCTCGCCCTCTTCATCTCGCCCTCACATGCTTGTAGGCCCACACACCCACAAAACAGGGGAGATGCCAGCCATATTAGGATCACGTTTGAGAATCCTCTCGCCCTCTTCATCTCGCCCCTTCCTTCATTCCGCATCCCATCCCATCCCCTCGCTCCCTCCTCATCCCATCCCCTCCTTCCTCTCCCTCCTCCCCTCCCCACCTGCACAGTCAGCAGCCGCGCCTTCTCCTCAGAAACCCACTTCTCATTGCGTGCCACGTCATACGTCCCCGCATCCTCCAACGCGCCCCCCCGCGCTGCGGTCCCGTCCGCCTCCGCGGGATCGCTAGCCCACGCCGCGCCCGCCGCAGATGCCGCCGCGAATCCCGGACGGAGCATTTTATTTCACTGCGATGAAATTGTTACTGGGACTGTGTGCGGTGAAATTCCGCCGAGGTTGCGGCGGGATGGGCGGAGCGGAAGCGCTGTGAGTCCCCCCTGGCGAAGTCGGGCGCGCGGAGAAGCAAGGGGGAGCGGTAGCGCACGGGTACGGGGAGGCGAGGGGGAACGGAAGGGCGAGAGCGAGGTGAGCGAGGGGAGGTTTTGAGATGTCTAATGTGCGAAGTGCGCGAAAGTGACATGGGAATCAGTGCCAGCCGAACCTCAAAACATATGTCTAATTTGATCAGGGGGAACGGAACGGATGGGTGAGTGTGATGTGGGGGGGGTCTCGTGGGATTGCGGTGATTGGTAGAAAATCGACGCATGGCAGGCAGAGACAAGACGTGACTGGCAGAAAATAGATTGCGTGAGCGGCAGGAAATGGAAAGACAAAAACAAATATAATTATTTGTATGTAACTGCGGACATGACTCCATGGCCCAATGGATAAGGCGCTGGTCTACGGAACCAGAGATTCTGGGTTCGATCCCCGGTGGAGTCGACGTTTTGCCCTCCATCAGTCTTGTCCGCGCAATCCCAACCTTCTCGTCTTTTTACACACCTCTCGCATCCATTACACGTCTCTCCGCGTGTCATCCGCAATGCTCACACTGCGCCCTCTGCGCGTCGCTCCTCTCTCCCCCAGCCTTCCCCTCTTGCGGTCGCCCCGCGCGCTCGCTCATGCATCGCGGTACACGGGGGGGGCGGAGCTCTGTCCTGTTGCGCGCAGTAGGCGGAGAGATGGAGCGCGCCACGCGGAAAGTTGCCTTATACCGCGCCTCGCCATGAGAGCAGCGCCAATCGCGGCAGCCCTTGGAGTCTCAGACGGTAGCGAACATGAACCGTTGGATCCTGTTAGAGACTCCGGGAAGGAGGCCTCTGAACCGTTAGATGCGCAACCTGCTGCTGACGCGGCGGAGCCCGAGCCCCGCGTGGGCGGGGAGCGCGCAAACCTGCGCTCGGCTCCGCGGAGAGAAAGCTCCCGCGTGCAGCAGGCGGGGGGAGAAAATCCCTCTCCGCGGAGCAATGCGGAGCTGATGGCGGAAGGGGGGAGAGATGCGGGGAGCGGGGGAGGGGGGGCCGGGGCGAAGCGGAGGGCGGGCGCGAGCGTGGGGGTGGACTATGGCGGGCGGAGAACTGGCGTGGCAGTGAGCTACAGTGGCTTCGCCCCTCGACCAATCACGGTGAGGCTCACAAGCCAGTCAGTGATCCCCTCATTATATCTCCGTAGAGAGCCATGCCCGCCTCACAAGTCGCCCCTCCGGCCGCCACCCCTCCTTTGCCGTGGGGCCCAGGGTCACTCACTCACTCCTGTCATGCCACATCTCTTCTTCGCATCCCCCCTGCAGCATGTTCTGCCTCTCGCTCCTCGCCTCCCCATCCATCCTTCGCTCACCATGCCCCCTTTCCCTTGTGCTGTCCCTCTCCTTCCTCTCCTCGCTCTCTCTGCCGCCGAACTGGGTGGTGCGGGTCCTGCAGGTGCTGACGACAAGGGGCCCTCAACTAGTGGCAGACCTGCTGAAGCTGGCACGGGATGAGGTGAGGGGGAGGAGGCGAGGGAGTTTGAGAAAGGGGAAAGGATTTTCGAGATGTCTTAAAACGCTGCTGAAGCTGGCCTTCACATGCTGACGTCAAGGGACCCTCAGCTGGTAGCGGACCGGTTTTTGAGAAGTCTAAAAAAGCTGCTGAAGCTCTCACGGGATGAGGTGAGGGAAGGGAAGATGAGGTGAGGAGGGGGGCCGGATGAGGAGCAGGGACGAGGAGACTGAAAGGGGGGTTGGGGAGAGGGAGAGACGGGGGGGTGTTGGATGCGCATGTGGGAGGGGCACTTTTGAGAATTCTCTTTTGAGAATCACTTCTGAGAATTCTCAAAAGGGAGATGGGGGTCGAGTTGTTGAATCAGCAGATGAGTTTCTTGATCCTGCTTCTTCCTTTACGCCCACCTGGCCTCCCCCTTCCCTTCTCCCCCTTACAACCTCCCCGCGCCCAGGGGGCGGACGAGCTGGTGGTGGGGCTGCCGGTGTCGTGGGATCGATCCGAGGGCCCACAGGCCGCCACGTGTCGCCAGTTCGCGCAATCGCTGGCCAAACCAGCGGCCGTGCAGTGAGTGTGCAGTGAATGCCATATTTTTTTCCATGCAACTCATTCGTCGCCCTGCCATCTGTGTCTCATGTTTCTCATGTGTTCTCATGTGTGCCCACCTATCCTGTATGCCCATGCCATCACAGGGGGGTGAGAGTGTTTCTACATGACGAGTACAGCACATCGCAAGATGCTCTCGACCTCATGATCCAATCGTAAGCTGCCACGCCGTCATCCAGCATGCCTGCACTTGCAGCTGTCTCCTAGTCGTGGTGGCAAGACATCTGCGTGTCGTCCATGTGACATCTATGTACTGTTAACTTCTCCTGCTGTGCTCCTTACGCCTCTTCTTATCTCTCCCTCTCTCTCATCCTCTCTCGCTCCTCTCTCATCCACCCATCACATCAGTGGTCGTGGCAGGAAGGACCGGCAAGAGATGCTCGATGCCTTTGCTGCTGCCGTGAGTGCTCCTCCTCAGCGCCTTATAACGAAGCTGTGTAGGCTGAGCCTGAGAACGCACGGGTGAACTTTTGAGTGGTCTCAGAACCCATGGGCGAAGAGATGCTTGCACACTTTTAGAAAGTATGTTCGTATGCTTGTTCGCTTGTTTTTCCCACTTCACTCCTTTCAAACTCTCCTCCGCTCCTCACACACTCATCTCAGAAACTCCCAAGCCCCCTTGGCCTCAACACACCACCACTCCCACTCACCCCCACCTTCCCCTCCTCCCAGGTTCTCCTGCGGTCCTACTTTGAGTCCCAAGGGGTCAACGCCACTGCAGTGTTACCCAAGAGTAAACTGCTCCAACAAAAGCTCTGCTCCCGCCAACACTCTCCCGATGCCAGTGTGCAAGGATTCTCTGCTGCGTCCGAACCCCTAGTAATACCTGACTCCTCTTCTGCAGTTAGAGCCTCTGCACCGACTCAAGGCACTGCAGGCTCTGCTGCTGCAGACGCAACCGTCTCTGCAATGCCAGCGACAGAGCAAGGGCGGCGTGCTGTCACACTGCACAGAGGCACGTTGAGCAACAAGGGAGCTTCACGGAGCAGCAAGGCATCATCGGTTGACAGTGTGCAGGGAGCTGTGGGTCTTAGAGCACGGGGCAGAGGCAGTGGGGAGGGCAAAAGGCCTGCTGTTGTTAGTAAGCCTCTCGCTACCAGGCAGATGGTGAAGAGTAGAGATGACTATGATGATGAGGAGGATGATGATGACAGCCTATTTGATGGTGACTGGGAGGCTGCTTTCAAGCTCAAGTAATAACTGCCCGCTCTCATCATTCCGGGTTTCAATTGGTTTCATTCATTGCCCTACCCGAGGTAGGCCTTGGGAAAAATTGAGCATGGGCAATGAAAACGACTGGCTCATGTACAAGGTAGTAGCAGCAGTTCATTACAGATGACAAGTACAGCGCCCCTGCTCTTCACAACCAAATACATCAGCATGACAAGCACAGCCCTCCTCTCGCTAAACCAAATACAGTTCATTACAGATGACAAGTACTGGGGGAGGGGATGGAATGACTCCCGCCTAATCAATGAATAGAATGGCCCTTGGGTTAGCCCACATCAACTACACCTACCAGTACAGCTGGTAGTACCACTACGCCACTGGCTCTAAGGAGATCTTGTGTGGTCACGCAGGCAAGCAAAGCAGCTGTTTTTGTCTTCCCTCTTACGGTAGACTACCGGTAAATATTGCTGCGAACAAGACTACTGGTATATGGTGGCAACCACCCTCGCTCCTCGCTCAGTTCACAGGCGGAAGCGGGTCCATGGGGGGAAGGCCCATCCCCCCCACACCCCCGCCCATGCCCCCCACCACCCCCATGGGTCCCCCCATCTGCCCGGGCCGCTGTGCACCATGCATGGGAGAGGAAGTCCCATGGAGCGGCGAGGGCGACGACGAGTGCAGACCCCCTGCTCCTCCCCCTCCATGCATCCCCACCCCACCTCCGCCCGGCCCCCCATGCAGCGCCTGCTGGGGGACAGGCCCAGGAGGGCCGCCCCCGCCCCCGCCCCCTCCTCCGCCTGCCCCCTGGTGCAGCGGGGGACCAACGTTAATGAGGAGCTGTGCAAGCCAGCGGCGCGTGGTGACGTCGTCCCGCAGGCACGCCGAGAAGGTGGCGTCTCGGAGGAGGTCGGGGAGGCAGGTGCGCAGGGCCTCACCCGCCCGAGGGTTGTCGGAGAGGCGGAGGTAGCAGCGGATGATGTGCTTCAGAAGGCGCACCGAGGGGTGCTCTGCTAGTAGCTGCACCATGTTTCCCAGGACGGCACTCACCTGGGAGAAAGGGGGAGAGAGGGAGGGAAGCAGGAGGGAGGGGCGCATGTGAAGAGACGCAGGTAGCAGCAGATGATGTGCTTCAAGAGGCGGACGGACGGGTGCTCTGCTAGCAGTTGAACCATGTTTCCCAGGATGGCGCTCACCTGTGGGGAGAAGAGGGGAAAGAGAGAGAAGGGAACATGAGGGAGGGGCGGACGTGAAGTGTGGCAGGCAGGTGACATTAAGATGATGTGCTTCAGGAGCCACACGGACGGGTCACGGGAGCTATGCTAGCAGCGACCATGTTGCCTGGGACGGCACTCACCTGGGGGAAAGGGGAGTAGAGTGGAACAAGGTAACGGGAAGGCATTCACGGAGTCATGGAGTAAAGGGCGCACTGCTGTTTCAAGGTTGAAGCGACTCGGCATCTCCTGCTAGCAGCTTCACCATGCACCACGCCAACTAGACCTAGTACCGCACAGAACCGCTCTGCACTGCACCACACGTGCGCCAGCAACACCACACGTGTGCCAGCGGCACCACTCCCCAGCAGCACCCAGGCACTCACAGCGAAGAACCTCTCAGCAGTGGCGCAGATGTACGCCAGGCCCACGTCGTCCAGCAGAATCTTCTGCACTATGAACGCATGCCTGCTGCTCACCCTAGAACCCTCCTCATGCACCACGCAACCTGGACCTCCTACTGCACAGAACCGCATGCATCTCAGGCAGGCACACTCACGGCAAAGAACCTCTCAGCAGTGGCGCAGATGTAAGCCAGCCCCACGTCGTCCAGCAGAATCTTCTGCACTATGAACGTGGCCACCGTCTTGGAGAGCTCCGACCCCATCTCCATGGTGCGCAGACAGAGAGGGATGATTTCTGTGGAGAGCAGGAAGTTGACCACGTCTGTGTCGTCCACCTGCGATTGGGGGTTGAGGTTGGGGTGTGCAGGGGATGGGGGAGGGAAACAAGGGGGCGGGATGGTTAAAGAAAGCTGTGACTCCATCTCCATTGTGCGCAGACAGAGGGGGATGATCTCCGCTGACAGAAGGAGGAAACAACACTTGAAAAAACTGGCCTTAACTTGTTGATAACTGTTAACAGCACTTTTCACTCGCGTTGACTGACCTTGACGAGGGCGCCGATGACGCCCAGGGACGTGAGGCGCAGGTACTCAAAGGGGCGAGTCTTGCTGACCGTGTTCAGGAACGGGTACAGGTATAGCGGGATGTGCGCTGATTGGGGGGGGGAGGGGTGGGGGGGGAGGAGGAGAGCAGAGGGGATGGAATGGCTGATTTAGCGACCGTGTTCAGGAAGGGTACAGGTAAAGTGGGATGTGCGCTGGTGGGGGGTAAGAGGGTGGAGGGGGGGGAACGGGTGGAGAGGGCATGGGGAGGTTGGTCTTGCTGACTGACTGTGTTCAGGAACGGGTACAGGTACAGCGGGGTGTGCGCTGGTGTGGGGGGAAGAAGGGAGGAACAGGGTGGGAGTGGGAGGGCGGAAGGAGGCATAGGGTCCGTGTTGAGGGTAGCGGTACTGGAGCATGTGCGCTGGTGATGAGGAGATGGGTGGCGGAACAAGGTGCGCACAGTACAGGGAAGAGCACAGGGACGCGCGACACAGTGATGGGTGAAAGTGAGAGGGGGTTACCGTTGAGGAAGAGGACGCGCGTCTCAGGGTGCGAGGCGACGCACTGCAGCACGGCGAGCGCGTTGCACGCGCGGTTGGACGCGCCTGCTGTTAGCGTGGGCGGTGATAGCATGGGGTATATCGCCACCACCTCCTGTAGAAGCGTTGTGATTGTACCGCAGCTGTGCCACAGAAGCAACGCGAGGTCGGGATACGCCTCCCGTCTCTGCCGCACACGAGCACGCACACGAGCACGCAATCAGGAAACGCACGACGGCGCGTCAGAGCACGGCGACCGGTGAGGCACCTCAAGCGTCGCGAGGTGCTCGTAAGAACGATAGAACGCGGCGATTATATATCTTCTCGCAACACGGACAAAGCTAGAATCGAAAGGCATTCTGCTGCTGTCCCACTAAGTGTCTCACTTTGCTAAGATCCAGCAGCGCGTTCTCCCGCTGCTCGGGAATGCTAAGCTCCAACACCAGCTGCTCCGGAGTAGCCATGGCTGCAGCCGCCGCGACTCACGGCGCCGCGAAGCTCGAAAACCGAGAAGTCAGACCACTCAGATACACTTCGACACGAAGCAAACGTGAGCTTGGAGAGACTGCGGAAACCTAGTGTGGAAATTGGTATCTGAAAAGGCCTGGTAGGTGTTTTGGGGAATTCCTGAAATACAAAAAAACGCTCCCTCCAGAAGACGGCTTATCAGCAGCGAGAGGCTGCACGTGGGAAGGACAGGAAAGTCACGAAGCCTCTAAAGTATGAACGAATCAAAGATAGGGGAACATGACAGCGAGCGATGCGATCGAAACGTTCGTGGCTGCGCTATCTCGAAAGGAGGCTGCCTCACCAGACAGTGTGCGACTGAAGATATACTCTGCTCGACGAGGTCGAGTCGCGGTTGAACAACTAAACGCGATTATTCACGGATTCGAGACCGAAAGATTCCTGAATGATCGGAAGTCCCGGAACGTTTCTCCTCTCTCCCATACACGCCGTCATTCTAGGCTAACCTTGGACTACGTATCATAACCTTGCCTCCGCCAAGTGCGGGACTCTTTCCCCAGCCTGAAATCTTCGCGCGGCGAAAGAGTGCGTGAGCGAGGCTCTGGAGTGGAGTGTGGTGTGAGCTGTTGCCTCTCTGACCTAGAAAATGCATCACGGGGATTCCCAACCCAACCTCTCTATAACGAACTGTAGTGCACATGAACTGTTAGGCCCGACGGCCTAAGTCCGCTAAAGAATTAGCGGGGTCGACTAAGTCGAGGATGAAACGCGGCGGAAGACTTTGGCGAAAGAACTATTGGCGAAATAGGCGAAGAAGTTACTGAGTAATTGAAGAAGAGCTGAATGAGAATTGATTGATATGAGGGAATACAAGCAAGGTTGATATAGCATGCAAGAGCAATTGTGGGAAAGTGGGTTGTGGGACTAGGAACTAGAAGGCAAAGAAAATAGAGTGCCACGTGGCACTAGGAAATCCAAGAAGATAAGGATAAGGATGAGTTGGATGGGTTGGGAAAGTACTGTTCAAAGGGAACAGTAAATCCCCCTCTTAACACTACCCCCCTCCCAAGGAGGCGACGTCCACGGTGCCTGCAGACTGAAGGTACGCTTGGAGGCAAGCGTTGTCGGGAGACAGCGAGGACGAAGGAACCCAGCTGTCGTCTGCTGCGTCGTAACCACGCCAACGAACCAAGAAGTCGATGAAAGAGACACCCCCCTGGAGACGGCAACGGTGCCTGAGGATCGCTGGATCTGGTAGTCGGGCTCGTCGGTGTCAACAGCTACCGGCAGTGGAGTGCGATCACGGCCCGAGAAGGTGGCGTTGGGATCGGTGTAAGGACGAAGAAGCGACACGTGGAATGACGGGTGCATGCGGAAATGAGCGGGAAGGCGGAGGCGGTATGCGACTGGACCAAGTGCGCGCTCAATGACGAATGGACCAATGAAACGTGGACGAAGCTTGCTGTCTTGTGGCAGTCGGAGGTTGCGGCTATCCAAAAGAACACGGTCGCCGACTGCGAACGACACCTCACGACGACTGCGGTTGGTGGTGCGTGCCATGCGTGCATTTGCGAGCTCAAGGTGCTTCCTCACGTGATCATGAATGAAGGTGAGATGCTGGTGGAAGTTGTCCGCACGAGGGACGGTGGGTGTGAGATCGACACGAGTGGGGACGTTGGGGTGCTGACCGTACAGTGCGAAGAACGGTGACACACCTGTGGCGGAGTGGTGCGTGTTGTTGTATGCGAACTCTGCCATGCTCAGCTTCTTGTCCCATGCGGCTGCGTCGTGCATCGTGATGCTGCGAAGAATCTGCTCCAAGGTCTGGTTCACACGCTCGGTCTGTCCGTCTGTCTCTGGATGGTACGCAGATGACATGGCTAAGCGAGTCCCAAACAGTGCGAAAAGCTGCTTCCAAAACTTCGAAGTGAAACGAGGGTCGCGGTCTGAGATGATGGAATCTGGAACCCCGTGCAGTCGGACTACGTTATCTACGAACAGCGTCGCGGCTTCCTCTGCTGTGACCTTGCCGTGCGTGGGGATGAAGTGCGCTGCTCGAGAAAACTTATCCACTACCACGAAGATGGCGTCGTGACCCCTAACTGTGCACGGTAAAGCCATGATGAAGTCCATGGTAACTACCTGCCAAGGGCGGTCGGGCGGTGGAATCGGCTGCAAGAGTCCTGCTTTGCGCTGGCGAGGGGACTTCGTACGCTGACACGTGTCGCACGAGCGAATGTAATCCTCTATGTCTGCTGCAAGCCCGGGCCAGTAGTACGTGCGACTAAGTGTCTTAGCCGTCTTATCTGCTCCAAAGTGCCCTGCACTAACTACGTCGTGCGCCTCTGAGAGAAGAAGCTGTCGAAGAGGGCGGTAGGCTGAAACCCAAATCCGTGTGGTACCCTTCCGTATGTAGACACTACCCTGCACCTCTGCTCCTGCCGGCGGCTGCGGTGTGAAGTCGGGATCTACTGTGTAACCGTGCTCGAAGAGTGCTGTGAGAAGTGGATGGCCGGCAGTAACTGTGAGGCTGGCGAGCTGGCAACTAGGGCGAGTGAGCGGATCTGCTGGGTTGCGAACGCCTGGCTTGTACTCTATCCTGTAGTGGAAACTCCCCTCCATGAACTCCATCCATCTAGCCTGGCGACGACTCAGCTGCGGCTGCGACTTGAGAAAGCGAAGCGAGCAATGGTCCGTGCGTATAACACTATCTGCCCCCTCTAGGTAGCACCTCCACACCTTATACGCATGGATGATCACGAGCGCCTCCTTGTCGTGAATCGGATAATTCAACTCTGCTCCCCTCAGCTTACGCGACTCGTACGCGATCGGCTGCAACCCGCGTCCCTGGTCCTGAAGAAGCACTGCTCCTATGGCCTGATCTGAAGCGTCGGTCACTACAACGTATGGGCGAGTGGGATCAGGGTACGACAGTGTCGGTGAAGACGTGAGCGACTGCTTCATCTGCTCGAACGCCTGCTGCTGCGCTGGACCCCAAACGTATTCTACGCCCTTCCGAAGTAGGTCGGTGAGTGGACTAGCGGTCGATGCGTAACCCTGAACGAAACAGCGGTAGTAATTTGCGAATCCGAGGAAGCTCTGCAACTCCTTGACTGAGGTCGGTGCTACCCAATCCTGTACTGCTGCGATCTTCTTCGGGTCGGTCCTAATGCCACTAGCGGATACGACATGGCCTAGAAACTCGACCTCTTGAATGAAGAACTCGCACTTCGACTGCTTAGCGTACAACTGCTCCTTCCGCAAGACCTCGAAGACCTTCTGCAAGTGCTGCACGTGCTCCTCTTTCGTCTTGGAGAATATGAGAATGTCGTCTAGGTAAACTACGACGAACAAACCTAGGAACTCGGAGAGGACGGTGTTCATGAGCGTCTGAAACGTCGCTGGGGCGTTGGTCAATCCGAACGGTAGAACCCTAAACTCGTACAACCCCTGCTTCGTACGAAACGCCGTCTTGTGGTGGTCCTCTGGAACTACGCGAATCTGGTGGTAACCCGAACGAAGGTCGATCTTTGAGAAGACTCTAGCACCCTGCACTGCATTGAGAAGATCCTCTACTCTCGGAACTGGGAATCTATTCTTGACGGTGGCGGCGTTCAGTGCGCGGTAGTCTATGCACATCCGTAACCCTCCGTCTTTCTTAGGCGCGAAAAGGATCGGTGCTGCCCAAGGCGATCTAGATGGCTGTATGAACCCCTGCGCGAGAAAGTGCCTAACCTGCTGCGTCATCTCCTCTGTCTCCGCTGGACTTAACCTCCACTGCGGCTTTGCTACTGGCCTGCTCCCCGGCTCCAACTCTATTCGATGGTCTACTGCTCGGCTAGGAGGTAACCCGGGGGGCAACTCGTCGGGGAAGACGTCTGCGAACTCTGCTAACAGTGCACTCACCTCAGCAGGAAGAGTCGCCTTCTCCCCAACTGTTGCACTCCCTCCTTTCCCCTCCTCAGCTTCCACCTCCTCAAGGAAAACCGCGAAGATCCGTGCCGCACGCTTCACCAGCTGCCGCACACGAACAGCATTGATGATGGCTGTGGAGGATGTGGCCCCATCGCTCCACTGTGGCAGCTCCCGAAACTCCCCGTCTACCTTGACGCTGCAGCTTCCCTGAGCCCAATCGAACTGAGTACTAACCGTCCGTAGCCAATCCCTACCGAAGATGAAGTCGTAACCGTCCAGTGTGGTAGAGTCGAAGTCACGCGTAACCGTGATTGGTCCTAGCACTACGCGCAACTTGCGAATGACTGGTCCTATGTGAAGTGGCGTCCCATCTACCATACGCGCGTCCTTGAAGTTGACTGCCGAATCTGCTTCAAGTTGCAGACGACTAACTAATGAAGAAGAGACGAACGAGTGGCTAGCTCCACTGTCTACGAGAATTTTGACTGGAACACCGCGAAGCTTCCCCAGAAGCACGACTGGACGATCAACAGCGTCTACCGAGTTCGGCGTAGATGAATGCTCCAGTGCTGTCTCCTCTACGTCGGTGGACTTGGCGGGTTCGGAAGCGTCCACACCAGCTAGCGACCCGCTATCTACTGGCGGTCTCCGTTTCCCTGCTGCCGCTCCTTAAGCTGTGGGCAGTCCCGCTTCATGTGTCCCGGCTTTTTGCAGTAGTGACAGTTCCCCCTAAATCCCGTTTTCTGTGAGCCGTCACTGTTAACTGCACCAATCTCCATGGGCGATGGTCCGTCCCTCGATCGAGCGTCGTTGATCGGTCTGTTGTATCCCCTATCGCGATCGTCACGACCCCGTCGGCTTCGTACTGCGTCGACGCGTTCTGCTGCTGCGACAACTGACTCGAAGGTGGACAACCCATGAATCGCTATAACTTCCGCTATGTCCGGCTTCAACCCCTCGAGGTAGCGATCGCGCATCTCTGCTTCCGTGATATCGTCTATCTCGTTGCAGATGCTCAAGAACCGTTGTGTGTACTCCTGGACGTTTCCTATCTGTCGGAAATGACGCAGACGCTTCCTAGCAGCTTCGGAGGCGTTCACCAAATCGAACCTACTTTTCAGCGCCGCTTCAAATCCTTCCCATGTCGTCGGAACCGTGGTAACACCTAAAGCTAAACTCCCTAAGCTCGAAGTTGCAGCTGCATGCCCCACGCCCTGTTGATGCCCGTCTGTCTGAGCCCTTCTTACAGCAGTTTGCGTGAGTTGGCGCCACCACTCCAAGGCCGGGCCCCTCAGCAGCGTAACGGAGTACTCAATCCGCTGCTGCGCGTCCGCCTCTTGCACCCCGCTCGCGGCGAAGTAGTTGTTCAGCATGAAGAGCCACGTCCGCACGTTCGCGTCGCGTTGACTTGGGTCGAACGACTCGGGTTTCTGCGGCTTAAGCGCGCTTCGACGTTCCGGCAGCGCTTCCGCGCCAGTCGACGTGTTGGGTGCAAGAGTTGGTGCGGTATGACCATGGGGGTTAGAAGCCAATTCACGAAGCTGTTGCATTTCAGCTCGTACCTGACGATTTTCCAATGTCAACTCTTGAAGTTGGCGCATGAGTTCGGCAAGCGTGTTGCCCATGTCGTGGGGGAGAGCGTGCATGGTTTCGTCCATGTTCGCTCGACGACTCCAAGTCTGCAAGTCGGCACCGCGGGACGATGACGTCGTAGTCTCGTCGTCGACGGTCGCTCGTTGGAAGTCGCTCCCCGCGAAGGCTCTGATACCAAGTGTTAGGCCCGACGGCCTAAGTCCGCTAAAGAATTAGCGGGGTCGACTAAGTCGAGGATGAAACGCGGCGGAAGACTTTGGCGAAAGAACTATTGGCGAAATAGGCGAAGAAGTTACTGAGTAATTGAAGAAGAGCTGAATGAGAATTGATTGATATGAGGGAATACAAGCAAGGTTGATATAGCATGCAAGAGCAATTGTGGGAAAGTGGGTTGTGGGACTAGGAACTAGAAGGCAAAGAAAATAGAGTGCCACGTGGCACTAGGAAATCCAAGAAGATAAGGATAAGGATGAGTTGGATGGGTTGGGAAAGTACTGTTCAAAGGGAACAGTAAATCCCCCTCTTAACATGAACAGCTACACTTGAATTTATTTCCAATCGTACATGCCTGGATTATTTAGGCATGCATCTTCCTAATTATGCTGTACAAAACCAAATGGGGTCACTCTTCATCACTATCATCGTATGCTAAACCAAGAAGACCAGGTCCTTGGGGTTCCGCAGAAGTTGATTTCTCTTCATGGTCTTTTGATGCGGATTGCTTGGCTTCACATGATGGAGAAGAGCTCTTAGAGTCCTTTTGACTTGATGGGGTTGAGGCAATCGCTGAAGCACCCAAGCTGAACGCTTTGACGGCACCATTTGAAGCTTGATCGCTTCGTGCCGATGCTTCTGATCCTTGACTTGAATCAAGCCGAGCCCGTTTTGGCTTCACTTCAACAATTGCTTTAAAAAGTGACTTTTGCCTGTCATGAGGAACACATTTAAAGAGCAGATCAATCAGAACACTTACAAGATAGCTGAAAATGGACGAACCGTAAAAGGAAATGCAATGTCGTAATCAAGCATTCACTGGGGAATGTTGTAACATGGTAACACATCCAATAAACAGTGCCACCACACCTGTTGGGGAGAGATGCTTTAGGTGGTGCTGCGGGGGAACCTGCAGGGCTGGCCAATGCTGGTGGCTGTGGGCTGTCACTCTTGGATGCTGCTGCGTGCATGGGTCAACACAGCAAGATAAAAACAATCAGGATGAAGTGGCGTGTGATGAGCGCAGACACGCATGCGAGAGTGGGGATGGGGATGAAATATAAAAGGAGGAGAATGATGAAGCAGAGGAGGAGGAGGAGGAGGAGGAGGAGGAGGAGGAGGAGGAGGAGGAGGAGGAGGAGGAGGAGGAGGAGGAGGAGGAGGAGGAGCCCAGCAAGCCTGGTTACCACCATAAGCTCAAACATGGAATGGAAAACTGCAAACGATGGCAGGGACGAAATGTTGAGTGGCACAAGCACAGGCCGCACGGCGGTAGCAGCGCCAACTAGAAGGGGAAAGACAGGTACAGTTGAACGAATGGTTAGAGAGAGCGAGAGAGATAGAGATACAAGGAAATCGAGAAAGGTAGAGGCAAGAGCACAGAGGTATAGGGGACAGGTAAAGGCGGCGAAGGGGCATATCTTGAGAGCAGCGAAGGCCCTCTTCTCTGAGTGCTGCCTTAGCTTCTCCGTCTCCTCTTCTGCGCGGATGTGCTCTCTCAAGTAGTTCAGGTCGTCATGGTCCAATGCTGCTCGCATGGTGGGTTTAAAGGGACAGCACAGCACGAGGATAGGGGTTGAGAAGATAACCTTAGCTGACGTGTTGTGGATGAGAAACAGACACATGCTAAGGCAGCATTGAGGAACATTGAGGAACATTTGGAGCTGGGGCCCTGTGCAGTTCAACGCCAGCTGGCTTTAGGGTGGGGAGATAAGTGGAGGAGAGAGCAACGTATCAGATGCCACGAATGATACAACAGTGAGGTTCCTCGCGCGTCTAACTCACAGATACTAAAAGGTAATCTCAGGCACTCAAAGGTCCTCACAGGAACTCTCAGCCTTTCCCGGGGTCTCACCTCCCCGGCCGTGCAGGTACCCGATGGGTCTCGCCTCCTCCTTCATGTGGGGCAAGTGACTGAACGTCAGATGCTACGAATGATACTACAACAGTGAGGCCACTAGCGCGTCTTAATCACAGGTACTAACAGGTACTCTCAGGTACCCTTACGTAATAGCAGGTATGGTCAGCCTTTCCCGGGTCTCACCTCCCCGGCCGTGCAGGTAACCAATGGGTCTCGCCTCCTCCTTCATGAGCGCCATTAGCCGCTTGTACGCCGCTGCGTCGCGGTCCTCCGCACCCTGCTCCGCCACCGTCACGCGCCCGAACCGACCCACTGCGGGGATCGCGGAACACGAGCGGGGACGCACGGAGCGAGGCTAGAGATTCAGAATGTGTTTTGAGTCGACTCAAAACACGTCGCGGTCCTCCGCGCCCTGCTCCGCCACCGTCACGCGCCCGAACCGACCGACTGAGGGGGGGAGAAAGGAATCGCAGCGATGAACTACACGGGTGAGGAAGCAGGGAGCGAGGCGAGAAATTTGGAATGGTTTGCATTTGCAGGGGGGACTTAGGTTACAGACAAGACAGGCTGAAAGAAGGGGACGTTGTTGATCGAACGACGTGACGTGTTGGCAGGGACTAACGAATCGCCGAAGGCTTACAGGATGAATGCAGGAATAGTCAGTGTTTATAGAGAGTGGTAAATGGCGGAAGGACCTTTCACGAGAGGAAGGTTGGTTGAATCGTTGTCCTCTCGCTTCCCCATGGCTGACGGATTCAACGACGAAGGCGACGAGATGCGAAAGCGAGGGCCAAGCTGACAGGCGAGCGAGGGAGCGACAAGGGAGGAGGCAGCGGGGGGAACTATGATTATTCTGGTTGATGGTGCGTTGTGGGACGGGGGAGTCGAAGAAAGGCAAGCGTGCCGGGGAGAAACGAAAGATGGGACCAGTGATGGGAAAAGATCATATTGGGGCCGAACAGTGCCAGAGGGGTGATCGAAGTAGGGCCGGTAAATATCGACCGTAGGATTTCAACCCAGAGCTGACCAAACGACTCGGCGAACAAGCCGAACCATTAGTAAAAGAGATTTGCTAAAACGAACAGAATTTTGTGTTCATTTTATTTTTTGAGGGTTTTGACCGCCGTCTACTACAACGCGCGTGTCACCTTCTCCTGGAATTAAAATTCGGCGTTTCAAATCGTGAGTACGTAACAATATATTATATTCTGGGTGATACATATCACCTACCCGATCGGAAACGCACAGGAAAAAAACTATTACCCATTCGGAAACGGATGCGACTCGGGAGGCATCAATCCTAAATACCAGAAAGGTCCCCACTTTTTAGGGTTGATCCATCCCGAAATTGCATCCAGGTTTCCTATGAGTTTTAGTTTTTTTTTTGCTGCCCTAGAGTTTCCGGTAGATTCGGTTCGCTAAACGACACGCGGGCGAAAATGCGAGCCGGTACATGCCACTAACAGAACTACGAGCAATAAACGAAGACCCTCTGTTAATCCCTTCTCGCGCAGTGGTTTGGTAAGTTCCGGGCCTCTCGGCCCCTGGTTGATCACCCCTCAGGCACTGTTCGGCCATTCGGCCCCTGTATGATCTTTTCCCACCAGTGATGGGTATTGCTGCGGCGTGGTTATGGGTGTGCTTGATGGGTATTTATCGAGTATGTCTGCCTTATCAATCGTCAACGGGACCTCATTAACTGATGCACTGAACTGAGTTCATTGCTGCGAGCACTGTCGTTCTGCTGCAAACACGGAATGCTAGATTTTGCTGGTTTTTGCTGGGTGCAGCTAGGTTATTCAGGACCCAGGGTTTTCCTGTAAAAATAGAAATTGTTTAAATCAAGTAGCAAACCATACATTGTTAGAACAATCAGAAACGTGTCACAAATGACCACATGTACCAAGAAAAAGAAGGGGAAAACCACACTACTCCTTTCATAGGAGTATGGCATGTCAGAGTATGTTATTTGTCTAGCCTGCAGTGGGGTACTCAATAGTGAGTACAGCCCTTTAGGGTTTGCTATTTGTACCAACCTGCTTGCTAGTCCAACCATCCCTTTCTCAATTCTTGTTTCTGTTCAACTCTCGCTCGTACTTGGCGCCTCCTTTGTAGTCCTACTGTGGCCTATGCTACTAAGCCTAGGTCCTACTGCTAGTATATTTGATATGGTATCAGAGGGCGGCATGTGCCTGCCGCCTTCCTGTATGGGCCCACCACCTGCTTCCGCTGCCGTTCTGTCCGTCGCGCGCCCCGTGGTGCGCGGCACTACTTTTAGGGTTTCTGCCCGCCGCGCGCTCGGGGCGCGTGGCGGTTTACCCTTCCGTGGTGCCCGTCGTGGTGCCCTTGGGGGGCATGCGCGGTCCCCTCCCGTCGCCCGTCGAGGCGCTCTCGGGGGCCCGCGCGGCCTCCCCTCCCGTCGCCCGTCGTGGCGACCCGCGCGCGGTCCCCTCCCGTCGCCCGTCGAGGCGCTCTCGGGGGCCCGCGCGGCCTCCCCTCCCGTCGCCCGTCGTGGCGACCACGGGGGCTCGCGCGCGGTCCCCTCCCGTCGCCCGTCGAGGCGCTCTCGGGGGCCCGCGCGGCCTCCCCTCCCGTCGCCCGTCGTGGCGACCACGGGGGCCCGCGCGCGGTCCCCTCCCGTCGCCCGTCGAGGCGCTCTCGGGGGCCCGCGCGGCCTCCCCTCCCGTCGCCCGTCGTGGCGACCACGGGGGCCCGCGCGCGGTCCCCTCCCGTTGCCCGTCGAGGCGCTCTTGGGGGCCCGCGCGGCCTCCCCTCCCGTCGCCCGTCGCGGCGGCCCTGGGGGCCCGCGCGGCGCTCTTCCCGTCGCCCGTCGCGGCGGCCCTGGGGGGCCGCGCGGCTCCCTTTCTCGTCGCCCGTCGGGGCGCCCTGGGGGCCGCGCTCCCCCCCCCCCCCCCTCCCTCCTACCTTTCACCTGCAGCGGCCGCCCTGGAGCAGCCCGCACCTGCACCAGCCGCCCCTGGAGCAGCCCGTGCCTGCAGCAGCCGCCCCAGGATCCGCGCGAGCCGCCCCTGCAGCAGCCGCCCCAGGATCTGCGCGAGCCGCCCCTGCAGCAGCCCGCGGCCCGTCCCTGCAGCCCGTCCCGTCCCCCCCCCCCCCCCGTGCTGCCCATTGCTCCCATTCCGCCGTGCGTTCCGCGGTGGTGGGGGTGTGGGGTGGCGAGCATGGGGGTGCGAGGTGTGGGTGCTCCCCTTCCCTTTCCCCTCCTCCTTTTTCGTCTCCCACTGCTGCAGCTGCTGCTGAGGGGGGTGGAGGTGTGGGAGCTGCGGGGAGTGGAACTGGGGGGTGACGTGGGAGTGAAGTTAGGGGTGAAGCAGGGGGTGTGTGGGGGGGGTGTGGGACAGTTGGAGGAGGTTGTGTGGAGGCAGCCGTCGTGTCACCAGCAGCGCCAGTAGTCCGGTGTCGTCGAGCTCTCGGTAGCCCAGTGAGCCTGCTGCGCCAGTCGCCCGTGGGTCCGTTGCTCCTGCCGCTCGTCGTAGCCGCAGAGCCTGTTACTCCTGTAGTCCGGAGCCGTCATGCTCTCGGTAGCCACTGTGCTAGCCGGTGCTCCTGGTGCCCGTGTGTCTGCAGCTTCAGTCGTCGCATCCCATCTTCTCTCCCCTCACAGTCACTCCTCCTCCTCACTTGCCCTCTGTGATAGCCTCTAGCTTTACTTATAATTGTGAACTACTGCTATGCCTGCTCATTGTGCTGATTACACCCCACTTTGGCTATGGGGGTGTGTCAGAGTATGTTATTTGTCTAGCCTGCAGTGGGGTAGTCAATAGTGAGTACAACCCTTTAGGGTTTGCTATTTGTACCAACCTGCTTGCTAGTCCAACCATCCCTTTCTCAATTCTTGTTTCTGTTCAACTCTCGCTCGTACTTGGCGCCTCCTTTGTAGTCCTACTGTGGTCTAGGCTACTAAGCCTAGGTCCTACTGCTAGTATATTTGATATGGCACGTAGATATAGCTTGCAGTGTCATCACATTCATGTGAAGAGCACCTGGCAGCCCAGCACTGCATCTATTAGCACCAGCTCCAACCCACTATCCCCCCTTCCCTGCCCAGGTATTACTTTCACCAGAATTACCTCTTTATCCTCATCCATCTCCTCTTCCTTGTCCTCCCTGTTACGAATAGTAAATTGAGAAAGAGACTTGAGAAAGTGAACGAGAATGAATGAACTATGAATGAATTGGGTACAAGTACTAACCCTAATTGGGTTGTACCCCTTATGGGCTACCCCACTATAGCCTACACAATATGCATGAGCTATAATGTTCTGACACACCCCCATAGGCAAAGTGGGGGAGAACAAGGGGTCACAAGACCAGTCAAGCAAAGCAAAGCAAAGCAAGCTCAGGGTGGATCACAAAGTCACCACACATTCCAAGCACAAGTTCAAGGCCACAAGGCCAGTTCACATGCAGGATTACATATATATACAAGGCTAGACAAGCAAGAGCAGGTATATATATATGTAACAGTACAAGCAAGGTCAAGAGGTGAGCAAGTGAGGCAAGGTAGGCACAAGGCCCAGCTGAGTACAGAAGCGCTGATGGTCACAAGGCGCAAGTGCCTTGGTGAAGATATCAGCAGTGTTGGCCTCAGAGGCCACGTACGCAAGACGCAACTGACCACGCTGCTGCAGCTCACGAGCAAGAAAGTAGCGGAGAGCAATGTGCTTCGTTCTGTGCTCCAGTCGCTGCTCCCGACACAAGGCCAGCATGGCCTTGTTGTCTACGTACAGCACTGGAGGAGAACGAGGCGGCTCTCCGAGGTCAGTCAGCAGGTAGGTGAGCCAGCGAAGCTCCTGTGCAGCCATGGCTCCTGCGTAGATCTCAGCCTCACAACTGGAGCCGAGAACAGAAGACGAGCGAGTAGCCCGCCACGAAACAGAGCCGGAACCAAGGCTGAAGGTGTAACCCTGTGACGACCGCTGCGTAGCCTGGTCGTCAGCCCAAGAAGCGTCTGCGTGCCCAGTGAGGACCACTGGACTCTGCCCTCCAAGCACAAGCCCCATGCCCGACGTACTGCACAAGTAGCGCAACACCCTCTTCGCTGCAGCCATGTGCTCCGGTCTGTGTCTCCCAGGAGCAACATAGCGTGCGAGAATGCTAAGAGGGTATGCAAGGTCAGGTCGTGTGCAGGTCATCAGGTACATGAGGCAGCCAACAAGCTCTGGGTACGGGCCACTCGACTCTACGGACTCATCCGAAGGCAGAGCTGAGAGCGAGTGGCGAGTAGGCAGAGGAGTGGCCTGAGGCGAGGAGTACGTGAAGCCGAAGCGCTGAAGGACCTGCTGCACCATGTGTGACTGAGTCAGGGTAATGGTGCGGCGTGCTCTGTACCGAGTGATCTGCAAGCCAAGGTAGCTGCGCAGTTCACCCAGGTCAGTGCACGTGTGTCTCTTCTGCAGCTCGGACTTCACGTGGGCGAGTCCAGCAGTGTCAGCTGTGGCAAAGACCAAGTCGTCGACGTACACGAGGATGTAGAACGGCGGCAAAGAAGTGTCGGTGCGTAGAAACAGCGACGGGTCGGCAGTAGAGGGAGCAAACCCAAGAGCCGCAAGTGTAGTCCTCAGTGTGTCGTGCCACTCACGCGGTGCCTGGCGAAGACCGTAGACTGGCCGCCGTAGGCTCCACTGGGTGCCAGGAGGAAAAGACCCAGTGAAACCAGGTGGGCGACGCAGCCAGATCTCCTCGTGCAGGCTGCCCTGCAAGAAAGCAGTGCTGAAGTCAAG